ATATTCTTTCTAAATCACCTTTTCCTAACCTGTTGCCTTCCAGATATGTTTGACTGCAATTCCCATCATTCTTAGTAAGCATGGCTGTGCTAGCTGGAATCTTTGCTGGTTGCAATCCAGTAAAACACTGGTGCTGAGATGTACTGAAGAGCTGTTTATTGTGTAACATAAATTGGCAATGTGAAAAACAACTTAGGCCAGGGATGGGCAGAAATTAAATCTCCAAATGTTTTGGACTTCAACTCTCACCATTCCTGACCATTAACAATGCTGGCAGGACCTTCTGGGTGTAAAGTCCCAAACATCCGGAGCTCTACTTTGTGGCTACTCCTGGCTTAGGCTACCATTTTATTCCTATTTAACTGGGAATAAGTTCCATTGAACGTAGTGGGTCTTGCTTCTGAGCATACATGCATAGGAGAGTGCTGTCAAAAGGCAAGTGCATAATGTTAACTCAGCTCTGTATATGGCTGATGGTCTGGGATAAAATAAATTACTGATGTCACAATGTAAGCATTTGGCTAGGGAATGTGTAAAAACAGTTAGAAAATGTTCTGGCATTTCTGTAAATTCAAATATAATTTAAAAATGCAAGGCCTGGTATCTCCTTGCAGGTATCAGGGTTATTAACAGCTTCTTCAAAAAACAAAAGCTGTTGGTAAGAAGCTAAGAATGGTTGAACTCTAAAGGACCAGCAATGTGGATTCATATCTAAAAATGCTTAATGGTCCCTATGTATCCAGACAGCTTGTTTTGGAGATTTGGAGCAATATATACCCACACCTGCCTTGATATTGATTTTTACTCTGCTTTTCTTGCAATAAAATGGTGCTCAGCATGGGTTACAATCACAAATAAAATTTGAAAGCAAGAACAATACAAGAAAAAGCATAATACTAACATAGCTGTGCAGATGAAAGTATCTTGTCTTGGGAAAGGAACATTGCAACCCTCCCTCCTTTCCCCCTCAACTTGTGTTACTGCTATTAATTATAGGTCAGTGATCACTGCTGCATTTTTTCCAAAATTATTATCATTAACAACTATTATTGGAGAAATAGATTAGCTTTTTAACTATCTTTGCATACATTGTCACTCAGTAGATGACTATTCTTAAGTCTAATCACATCCGGCTTTGTTCTCTCAGTGCTGGATTGAACAAGGTGGACAGGGATAGAACAGATTATAAATCTCAGGTGAGTAATGTGGGTATCCTACTAGATCTATCAATATTTTTGGAGAATCAACTAGTGCCCAAAGTTGGAAGCACTTTTTGCCAATTGCCTCTGGTCTATTAACTTTCCCTTGCCTAAAAGGGATCTAGCAACCATATCCTATACTTCTGAAAACTTTAGGATTGACTACTGCAATGTACTTTCTGTTGGAGATGCCCCTGAGGAACTTCTGTTATAAAATGCTGTATTTTCTCTCCTGCCAAGCATGGGAATGTCTAAGTGGGAAGAGAGGGTTCTTCCAGTCCCCCGTCCTCAGCATCAGTTGTGTTTTGAGAGATGAGTCAGTGTTCATGATGTGTGCACTTATGCCTCCTGTGCTTCTGCTAAGCAGATTGTTGCATGCTTGATCAGAACTTCCAGTCACACAAATAGAAATGTGTGTACATCACCGAAACTGAAAGCTCTTTTAAACCACTTAAATCTCACTCCTGTCCACTCTTAACTTTTTGTTGCTTTCACTTCTAGAGCTCTAGATTGTATTTAGAGATTATCTTTCTTGCTTATTTTAAGGTAGAAGTGCATGTTATATGCAATTCTATGATTGGTATTTGGGCCTTCTTAAATACATGGTGCAGTCTCTCAGGTTCTCATAGGAAATAAAAGATTGGTAGGAAAGAGGGTACTTAATTCTTTCCTCATCATGCTTACCTGCTCTTACTCCCACTGGAGAAGATAAAATGCAGGTAGTCCTCAGGTTAAGAATGAGTTAAGTTCCTGAGAACATCCTTAAGTCAAATTTGTATGTAAGTTGGATCACATGAGTGAGTCAAATGTTCGTCTTAGCATATGCATAAATTTAAATGTTCTATGCATATAAACAAGAAACACTTCCATATTCACCAAAACATCTTAAACACAATACAGCATTGTAATAATGATAATAATACAGTAATAATAAAATAACTACAGGTACTGACCTGTATGCATTTGTACATGAGTGTAGGTATACAGTATTGTAAAAAACAAACAGTTCATAAAACAGTTTAGAGCACTCTTGAGGTAACATTAAGCCTAACATTAACTGATGCTGATGGAGGTGGAGCTCATGCTAGAGAGTCAGGGTTTGATTGTGCTGCTGGAGTGGGTAGGTGGTTTAACAGTGGAGTCTAGGGTCAGGACACCATGGAACAAAAAGCTGTTGATACTGTATCTCTAAGGAACTAAGCAGCCACTGAAGATGTGAAATGTTTTATGTTGTTCCCTAGAGATATTCATGACTTTTTTCTAGAGATAATCATACAGGGTTTATGGCAGTCCACGTATTCTTAAGTACAGGTTGTTCATAACCCAAGAACTACCTGTACAAGTGACTAATTTTTCCTCAGATGTGATAATAGCAGTAACGGGGCATTTCCATAAGAACAACTGCACAGGACTGAGGGGCATGTTTCTCTATCTCACTGAAAAAAAATCTTGAAGAAAAATTATAGAACTACATTTATTACAAAATGTTGGTCTTGGGAGAGCATACTCACTCTCTGAGCTAATCAAAAGGCGTTATCCCAGCTTCCATGTTGTATTTTTAAATCTAGCAGAATTGCATGTAGACTTATTCCATTGTGGTGCTTTCAGAGTTATGGAACTTTTCCTGCCTTGACAACTTTCTTTATTTTTACTGGCAAACAATGACTTGTAGGCACACAGTGTTCTTGCTCCTAAAAGTAGAAATGACAGATCAAGGAAGAGTGTAGTTGCCCTCAATTCATAGATGAAAAGTTCTAACATTTCCTTGTGAGGTGTGCAGATTTATTCTATGGAACAAGATGCCGCCCTGCCTTTTTTTTACAATTAAGTATACAGTTGCTGGATCCATGTGGAGTCCAAAAGCAGGGTTGAATTGAAAACCACATTGTTAATTTTTATTTATGTATTTATTTATTTATTTTTGGCCTGACTTAAAGCAATCTGGGTCACCCAATATATTTTTTTGTGAAAGGCCAATGCTCTTTCATACTGAATTGGACCCCAAACTAGTTTATTGTTGTTGTTACACTGCATGCATCCTCACCACAACCCTGTGATGTAGGTTATACTGAGAGTCAATGACCGACCCAAAGTCACCCGGTGGGCTTCATGGTTGAGTGGGCACTGGAACCTGGATCTCCCATGTCCCCAGTCTCACAGTCTCACCACCACACCTCACTGGTTTTCCCACAGTGGCTCATTTCTGCCACACCTAGATTTTCTTGCTGCAGCAAAACAGTTGGAAGTCAGCGCTGATAGCATTTGCATTAGGAAATCTCCAGGTCGAATGGAACATATTTCTTGTATGATGTCATGCTGTCTCCTTGTGCGTTAGTGGAATCATGGGAAAGAGTTGCATGATCCAGCAGTGTGCAGCTGTCAAGATATTCTTCTTATTTTACGATAGACAAGTATAACTTCAAGCAACTTGGAGAACCATGTGATTTTAGCAGCTTCTTAGGAAGAGCCAGATTACCACATTGTTTATGTGTCTCCTGTCCCTGATGAAAACTGTTGGACTGGGCATTTTAAAGGACATTATTAATTAAGAGGGAAAGAGCACTGGTACCTTTGCTGACTGGTTTTCTGGAACATAAACATACATAGATCACCACCTAAAAGACTTTCCTTATATAACAAAGAATAATTCTGATCAATTCCTACTAACTCTTGTAGCATCTAGCATAATTGAAGTTATCCAGTATTTGCCCAATTACACAAGGATTGAGTTTTGTCCATGCAAGGAACAGATTTGGCATATGCTGAGTAAATGTTAGGATGTACTGGGCTTCTGGTGAACTCTGATTTATCAGGATTAAGCAGGTGTGCTGCTACATGCAGTCCAATCTCTCCCACTTGGCTCTTCCTGAAAGCAGGAGCAGTTAAATCACAGATTCTCTGCCATGGTTTAATATGATATTCAGATGAAGGATTCAGTCTTGGTTTATGCCAAACAATCCAGACTGGGTTCAGATAACACAATAATTCACACTCAAGGGTTGAGTATCAGTTCAGTGTGGTTTGTTGTTGAACTGTGAGTTATTGTTGAATTGTGAGTTATTTAGTTGTCCAAAGCCAAACATCCTAATAAACTGTGGTTTGTTAATAACAAATAGCCCACAGAGTGACTGGGTTTAAATGATCACTGGGGAAAACAAAGTCACAGTGGTTTCTTTCCCCTTCCTCCTGACAGTTCACAGCTTACCTTGCCATCTGTGCCAGACAAGGTACCTGGTGGGTTGTAGTGTTCTGAAGTGGTTTGGAAGCTTCTTCCCACACTGTTCACCTCTGCGTGTTGGGACAACACAGCAACTGTCACACTATGAGGGTAATTGGGAAATCACACAGTGCGCAACTGGCACATATGAGGGTGGGGAAAAGAAGCCCCTGTGGCTTTTTCTTCTCTAGTGATCCTGTAGACCTGGCCACTAGGTTTGCTTAACGTGAAACGTCACTGTGAATCCCACAGAGATTCAGTATCTCAATTTTAGTATTGCCAATTACTGGTCAACACTGGGAAATTTAACCTTTAGCCAAACAGCATTGCTATTGATCAGCTGTGTTTTTCAAAATTCTGTTTGGTATTGCTGCATACATTCATCCTGAGGTGGTTTACCACTACTGCTGAAATGGACTGCTATACAGAGATTTGGTGTAAGGAACTAGAACTTAAAACCAAGTGCTGGGCCTTCTGAGAACCCTTGACAAAGGGATGAATTATGAGCAGAATGCAAATGTCTTCATGGAATACCATGAGAAAAATATGCAGATTTCTTACCTACCCTTTGCTTGTTGTTACAGAGAGCACTGACAGGACTAGATGATCTGCAGCAAGTGAGGGCCCTAGAGATGCGTGTTGACACAAGAGAGAACACCCTGGGAAACTTTGGTGAGAAAATGTTGCTTTGCACTGAAACTCTCCTAGCTGAACAAAAGTCTCTTAAGTGATGGAAACTTCCTACATGGAGTAGTTTCCTTTCTTGTTCTGGGCACATTTGCATGCAATGACAACCCACCCTGGCAATGTGCCACTGGGGGAAGATGTGTGAACAACTTGTGGTGTGCCCAATAGGTGATTGGATTCACTCTGGGTTGTTGGCCTCTTCTCCTCACTGACGCTTCTCGTGGGCATCCCAGGGGACACTGGAAGGATCAAGTTGTTTCCCCAGGCCTACTGTAATTATAAGCTCTTCAGGGCTGCTATGGCTTTTTTGCCCTTTAAAAATGCAACTGTAATCGTATAACTGAGGGTAAATTTAAAATAATAATCAGGGGCAAAACATAATTAACAAAATATTTGGCTACCATAGGCAGCCTCTCAAAGGTGCCATTGGGGGACTTTGAAGGGACTGTCCATAGCTGTTGAAACAGAGATTGTGAAAGCTGGCTTGGAAGGGGCTTTAGCAATCTCCAGAAAAGAAGTTTAAAGTGCAAAATAGCTGTGGTGACTGCAACAGGGAGGAGAGAAGGCCAGTGCCAGCTGCCCACCAAGTGCTTCTTCAGCACTTTTTGGGTGTCTGGCATTGGCAGATGCAAGGGCATGTTTGGTAAAAGCAGCAAAGTGTTCTTACTGCTTTCACTGAGAGTCAGTAGCTGATTCTTTGTACCCACAATGGGATTAGTTTTCCAGGTTTGGATAACTTGACAATCCATCATGGGTACAACAACCCCTAAAATAAGTCATGGGTTGTCAGAATGGCTTGTTGCCCTCAAACAAACCTTCCTGTGGGCAGTGGTCCGGGTTACAACATAACAAACCATTGTGAGTAGCAATCTATTGGATTAACATGCCACGCAAACCAAGTCCCTCAGTGTATGTGTGTTTGTCCTAATTTCTGGATGCTGACATATCAGGAATTATATTCAAATCAAGTTTGAATGAGTGTATGGGAGAAGGAGGCATATCCTACTCTATGCTTCTACTGCCATTGCCTTTATCTAGTCAAATGTAGTAATTCTGGACACATTCTCCCTTTTATTTCTTTCTCAAGTGTGAAGCAGAAGGAGAGAGGGAGATTAATCAGTCAAAAACATAATGAAATGGATTACTTGACCAGGTGTAGCATTGTACTGTGACAGTACGGAAACCAGAAATACGGTACTCATGAAAACAAGTAAAAATGTGTGTGGGAAATCCTGTCTTAAGAGTATGAAGCTCTAGACTGTGCAATGTTCATAGAGGACACAGTGCTTCAAGAAGTGAAGTGAGATTATGTGGATAAACCTGCACAGAAACAGAGATCAGAAGGATAAATGATCAAACATAGGCTGGATACAGAAAGCAATCTTTGAGAGTCTGAAAGTTGATTGAGAGAGTTTTTGCTTTCTGTGTTACTAATTTTGACCTGCATTTTGTCTGATCAATTGTGTGTGAGTTTTGAAATACAAAACCTTTTTAAATCAGAGGTGAAAGCTGTATGAATATGCACACTTAAACCTCCTTTGTGAAAAAAATTGCTTCAGTAGAAACAGATGTTGAACACAGGGAGATGTTATCAACCATAATTTTTAAAATGTCAGTTACTAGTGGTGTAAAATATAGTCTGGCAGTCTGTGATCACTCTCAGGCCAGCCCTGTCTTAGTTTGAGTTCTTCTTGTGGCATGTCAAAGCAAATAAATTACACCACAGGAGTCAACTGAATATTATGGGAACAAATATATACGCTGTAGTATTAACACAACTGAAATTAGAAGTCTGAAAGTGTCACACGGACTAGTATGTTAGCCTGTAAATTATTCTTTCTTACCTTTCCTTCCAGGTACTTACCTTCCTAATCTAAAGCAATTGAAACTGAATAACAGTGTGCTTACTTCTGTGAGGTAAGGAGTTCTCTCTCAAATAGTAAAGTCCAAATTACCTTTTCACTCTCCTCTTCCTCCTCCTGCTCCTCTTTTTCCATCTTGCACATTTGAAAAATAGCCTTATCACCCCACAGAGGCTGACTTGGATCTTCATCTTCTGAACAGTGGGAAAGCTTTTTGGAGATCTATTGTTCTTTTATATGGTACAAGGTGCAAAGTAAGCATTGGAAACAGGATTGGGGAATACATGGCACTCCAGACCTTAGACAGCAATGCCTGTCACTCATCACTCACCATCGCCTATGCTGGTTAAGACTGATGGGAATTGGCAGCCACACAATCCCCATTCCTGACTTAAAATGTGAAATTTTTGTTACGTGATTTATCACTTAAATGTAGCCTGTGGAAACACAGGAAGTTAATGCATGATCCTTGGGACAGACATGCCAAAACTCTTCCTTCCAGAGGGAGAGCCTTGTTAGTCAGATGACCTTACTGCAAAGATGCATAATTTCTGTATTTTACAATGGTGAGTCCAGTAGGGTTTAGATTTCTGTATACACGTGGGGGAAAAAAACCCTCCCAGGCTGTAGTCCTCTTTTTAAAATGATTATCTTTTTTTTCTTTTTTCATTTATAATTTTTTCCTCTCCAGAATGAAGAACTTCTAGCAAAGGTTATATGGGCAAGGAATGCCAAATTCACCAAACTGGAGAAAAGGAATAATAATGCATGGGTTATTATTGAGAGAAAAAAGGAAAGAAAGTGTACTGTGGAAAATCCACACAGACAGCCTTTGGTTTCTGAAATGTTAATTCACCCTGCTTCTATTTCCTCAGAGTTTCTGCAAAGCCTTTGAGAGATATGATGAATATGCTCTTTTGTTAATTTAAAATAATGGCTATCTCTTTCCTGCTTCTGCCAGGATCTGTTTTGGTGCTGCACTGCTAGCTCATAACCATGGAGATATTATTAATTTTATTTCTTTATTGTCCAGTAGATGAAGCTCTATGGACAGTTTACAACTGAGTCTCCTGAAAATGAATGAGGTGCAGATAAGATTCCAAGAGTTTTGCCTTCTCCTGTTAGTTGTATTATTCAGTATAACAATGCAAGGCAGTGCTTTTCATGTGTTTCTGAAAGTTGGCAGACACAGAGGAACTTTTAGAAGCCCCATCACGCCTCCTTTGAGATAACTTATCTTTCTGTGTGTTTGTGAAATGAAATGGTAGGAAGTGCGAAAAGGGGAAGAACTAGAACTGGGCAGCTTTCCTAGGTCGAAATGGTAACAGCAGCTGCTCAAGGCAGTGGTGGCTTCCTAGGATAGATTCATGTCAATGTTGTGCACTCTACTTTGCCATATGGAAAGAGTAACCCAGTAACAGCGACGCAGGGTTTAGCTTGTTTTTGCTGGTGATAGTTTATTTAACTTGAGTCTCACTTCGTCAGTCATAAAATTTTCTCAAAGAGACATACAAAAGATAATATAAAACAGCCTAAAATTACTCAAACAGTAAACCAACATACAAAGGTATAGCCTGGCTAAGGGCAGAATAGTTAAAACTGTTTTTGGCACCAACACTGCCACATTTGCTACATGTCAAATCAAAATTCTGGAGTGGGATTAGTAGTATAATTTTAAAAATTAATGTATTGTGATGTATTCTATACCCCTTGTTTTCAATCTTTTGTAGTAGCCTGTGTCATGGATGCTGTTTCTACTGTAAGTTTCTGAATGTTGAGTTATTTCCATTCCTAATGGACCCATAGCTGTGTTCTCCAAAGAACAAGTCAATTAATTTTCATTGGGTGGTCTTAGCATTGCTCTGAGAATGCCAGGAGATGTGCTGCTATTGGCTGCTTCTTGTATTACTCCTTTAGGGTGCAGTTCTATGATTCCCAGACAGCATCTGAGAGGCCCTAAAACATTATGAATTCTCAGATCTGAGGTCAGAGACAGTTCCTGCAAAAAATACCCTGTCAATTGAAAATGCTGGGCAAAAATACAGGGAGGCAAAGATCTTCTCAACTGCTTCTTCTGTTTTACATAGGATGACTGTAAATCTTTGTGTTCAAGGGCTTTATGGGTATCACAATAAGACTGTGTCAAATATTAATGGAAACTGCTTTTGCAGATCAATTCCATAAGTTACAGGCAGTCCCCAAGTTACAAACAACCCATACTTGCAAATGCTTACTGCCATAAAACCTAATGATTTAAAATTTGAGTTAAAGGCCTGTTGCAGGAAATTGTCATCACCATAGAGAGAGGGAAGAAGCAAAAGGGGAGAGAAGGAAAGCCTCCAAAGCATCACTGTAGAGAGACATGATGCAAAAGGGTAGAGAGGGAAGCCTCCAAAGCAGGCCTTCCTGCCCCATGCACCCGCAGAGGGAAATCTCTCCAGTGTTTCATTGCTGCAAAGAGGGGGCACTTGTGAGTTGGGGGGTTGCAGTTTTTCCACTTTCACAGGGGTCTTGCACCCCTAATCCCCGTGAATGTGAAGGGTCAACTTATGCAATTAGACTTACATACAAATTGACTTAATCATGACAGCTTGTATTTTTGTACAAACGTCTGGGTTATGAACAACCTGTACTTACAAATGAGCAAACCTGGAAGTCCCATCTTGCCCTTGAGTAGCAAGCAGCACCCTCAGGCACCCACTTTCTGATTGCTGCTTGCTGCCAGTGAAGCTGCAAAGTCAGAACTCAAGCCATACAGCAGGGAGGGAGGGGAAAAGCAGCGCTAGCAATTTGCGAAGTCAAAACTAGAAAGCAACTTCAGTGGTAACCCCCCACCCCCTCCAGCAGCACAATGAAACCCTGACTCTCCAGCACCAGGTCCATGTTCTCCAATACCAGTCCCATCTCCATGATCAGCCAGTTAATGTTACACTTAATGTTAGCTCAAAACAAGTTAACCTTTTATAATCTTTGCACTATTTTTTCTGTCTGTCTGTCTGTCTGTCTGTCTATTGAAACTGTTTTAGGAACTGTACTATATATTTACACAGATTCTCTCTCTCTCTCTCTCCAGTACCTGTAGTTACTTTATTATCATTATTAAAATTCTGTGTTGTGTTTAAGATGTTCTAGTGTATATGGAAGTGTTTCTTAAGAGTTTTATATGCTCTTTATATATGTGATCCATCTTATGTACAAATTCAACTTAAGGACGTTCTTAGGAACAGAACTTGTCCATAACCCAGGGAGTCCCTGTATCTGAAACATCACATGGAAAGAGTGAGCATGTACTGTCTTTTCAAGAAGACAGAGGAATGAGTGAAGATCTGTAACTGACAGCTATCCTCAAGGTTTTCTCAGTGGGAGTCACTTCTTTCAAACAATATTGCTAAGCATGGTGTTGAATTGCAAGGGTGTATTCCCTCATCCTCATGTGACAAGGTGACCTTATGACCAAGTTCAGCAAAAGCATGTCAGGTAGGAACCAAGGATGAAAGCCTGAAAACTTTCCTACTGTGAAATAAATGTGAGAAACACCAGCATCTCTTTTTCATCTTTTAAGAAGCAGTGGTTGTGTGATGCTAGCTCTTGAACTCTGTGCAAGAGTTTTCTGAACATCATGTCTTGGATCCTGTTCACGCAGAGGTCAGACAGAGCAAACTCACAGTCCTCAGTGGAAGAGTCTCCTGGTTTGGTAGCTAGGAGGCAGGATCCAAGCGGTGGGAAGCCATATTCTTTTTATACCAGGATATCAAAGGCTGTGAGTATTTGCATGTAACTTGCAGGTTGCCATTTATTTCTCAAAAAAATAGAGGTTGGCCTGCTAATTCTGTGGTCGTGAAGGAAACTATATACACAGCATGGGAAGAAAAGGTATTGCTTTAGGTCCTTGTTAATTTTCTACTTTACACTTCTTTTATGGGGCTTTTACTCTATTGCTTCCATTTATCTCTCTCCAGCCAAGTAATCTCAGATTTATGAAGTAATAATTGAGGGAGAAACATGGAACATTCTCTGAAGAGAGCAAGTTAAAAAACTATCTTTTACTCTTCCATGATGACATATGTTACTTATCTTCCTAATGATTCTGGCAAAAAGGACTATATTTCAAAAGCTAATGGGGTATTCGTTCTAGTCTGGCTAACAGCCACAATTTTTAATCTAATTGCTTCTGCTTTCTAATTTCAGGGATGAGTAAAAGGATATATGTAAAAACCAAGATAAATACTTTTTTAAAGGCAGACTGTTATGTTAGATGGAGTGTATGTAGCTATGTTTTGGGCACAAGCAGTAGTCCCAGTTGCTGAGAGATGCCCCCCCCCCTGCCCATTTTAAAGTATCACAAAACTATCCTGTTGTTTTGGGTGGCCTCTGCGCTGCTTTAGCAGTTAATGCACTGGGGCTGTCTGGAAACATGTGGGAAATCTCTCCGGACAGCAAGAACAAAGAAGCTTCTAGGTTGCAGGAGGAAATCTTTTATATGAGCTAGGACCGGAACATTCTGTGGGTTCATTGAGTTCAGCAATAGAAATCATGCAAATGAAGCAAGAGATGGAATTTTAATTTTCATTATGCAGTTGCACTTTTTCATTTGAATGATTTTTTTTACATGGGGAAAAAGACACAGACCTAGGAGTGCTCTAACGTGTAGTGTTTCTGGTTAATGTATTTCTAAAGATGTATTTTCATTAGTCACAGATACAGGATAAATATTTTACCAAACACAGTTTCTCTGCCTAATAGTTTTCTAGAATTAACAGGCACACTTGTTAAATACTGTCATATAGTTATTCTACACATAGATCAGAGTGTTAACATTTTGCAAAACATGATTACTTGGAAGTAAGTTCCATTGAACGCAATAAGAATAACCGCTCACTAGACTGGCATAGGTCTATATGGTAACAATGATGTACTGCATCCAGTTTCTTGAACAAATCTGCTTATTGCTTACATTACTATGGCAGTAGTTTCACATTTGAGATGAAATTTCTGACTGTTGCTAAGACAGTGTTAATTTGGTGGTTGGTTGTTTTTAATTTGGTATTATTCATT